TTTTGGTGTGGCACCACTTACTTAGTGTAATGTAGCATTAAAAGTTATACATGCAATAGGCTAGGATTAACTCCCACTGAATGAGGTGGTGTAGGATTCTTAATGTAATGACAGTACTATCATTTAGTAAATAAAGTCTCGCATTTTATACTTATTCGCAGTAAAAAAAAAATATATATTTATATAAAAGGTAATAGATGACTAAAGAAGCTTATTAAATCTTTGGTGCAAGTAATAAGTCAGTACATTTGCAATGATCTTTTGATTTCAGTAAAAGCTATAACTATAAAACTAATGAAAAAAGAAGTTAAGGTCTCTTATAAAACAGTTTGGTAGTATTTGATAAATGCTAGATATAAAAATAGTCTTTTTAGAAAACTCCAATGCTTATTGAGACTTATAAGCAAATATACATTGAATGGAGGCTCAAATATATCAATAATGATTGGAAAAAAATACTTTTTTTAGCCAAAACAATCTTTTAGCTCTTCTGTAATATGATAAAGTATTGATATAAGGGTCAAAGATCTATCCATTCTATTTCAAAAAATCATAAAAAAATTATAGCATGAGGTAGATTTTTTTGAGAAGGAAAATTAAGATTATATTGTTTTTAAGAAACAATAGATACTAAGTTTTATATTAACATTTTTTATAAACACATGTCCAAGATAAAGAAGAGGCTTGGTACTTATTGGTGATGGCAATAAGACAATAATCTAAAGCACACAAGCCATTTTGCTAAGAATTTTCTTCAAGAAAATATGCTGAAAGTTATAAACTGACTGTCCAACAGTTTTGATTTAAATTTCATAAAAAACCTATAAGTTTTAATTAAAAGAAATATAAAAAAGCATATGTCGAAAAATTTGAGTAAGTTGAAAGATTATATGATCAAAGAATAGAAAAAAATTTCCAACTCACTTTTAAAAAATTTGGTGATGTCAATAAAGTGGAAAAGTCAAAAGATAATTAAGAAAAACAGTAAATATATATTATATTAATTTTTTTAGTAATAATAAAATAAGACTTAATGTACCTATATTATAAATTATACAATATTTTGTACAGTTGTTCACTTGTTATCATGTGATTTATAAAGATAGTTTTTTTTATCCCTTACTGTATATATATAAATATTGTTATTAAATAGAATCAAAAAATTTATATTAATTAAATTAAAAAGATATATAACTTTTATAACAAGTTTAAAAACTTATTTTTGTTTTTAAAAGAAATAAAAAATTTTTTACAATTTTAAATTATTTCTTTCTTTCTTCTGAACTTAATATTGAAACAAGATAAAATTTTATACAGGCACATCCAAATTTAAAAGATAAATATTTGAAAACTAATAATTAAAAAATATTTGAAATGTATAATATTAATCTAAAATAATTTTAATATTATCAAATGCTTTACAACTTATTTATGAATTTTAAGATTAATTATTTGTAATTTTTTTATCACATTTTAATTATTGTATTCCAACTAATAAATATTATAAAATAGTTAAAAATATAAAAAGAAAATCAATAATCTATTGAACTTATCTTTTTTAATCCTTCATATTTTCTGCTCTTTTTAATTCATCAATCAAATTTAAGACCTTTGATGATAAAGAATATATAAATTAATTATAAATCATCTAAAAATATCTTATACTGTATATTATATCAAGAAAAAAAAGAATTTGTTTTTTAAAATAAAAGATTTATTAAAAATTTTCCAAAAACTGATATAATTAGATGATGATAAAGTAAATAAAACAGAAAACAAACTAATTACTTACCTTTCACTACCATTTGAACCAAAGTAAATCCATTATTATAGTGAAAGGTTAATGCCTTCCTTTTTAAACTGTAGCTCTTATAGCAGCAAATTACTTTGCCTTGCAAACAAGTATTCCTTGTGAACATATCTTCTTTATAGTAAAGAACAGTGTTGAATTCACAAGAAATCACCTTGAGGATACAAAAAGAGCTTAAATATGTTTAAAGAGTTGTTTAGATGCAAATCTTGAATAAGAATTAAGTAAATTATCGTTATTATAACAATCTGTATCTGAAGCCGAGCCAAGTTGAGACTTTTAACATCCCTAATTGTCATTAATATTATATATGAACTGGATCAAACATTATAAATATTACTATTAAAATTAACTTACAAGTCCATCAAAACCTTTCCAATATATTTAATCATAGTATGATCAAATTAGTTTTTTGCAGTATATGGACTTAAAATTCGTACTCTGGTTTCCTCTATCGAAAACTGCAAAAGCGATAGGAAAAAAGGTTCGGCAAATAAGCAGGAGCGTTAATAGTTGTTTTTTAAGGATAGGCATCCACTTCCAAAATATTTTCTAGCCATTCACGCCAATCTACAGCAACTACTTGATCCTGATTATCATGGTCATCACGGTTCTCTTCATTTTCATTATGGTTACCTTGCTTTCCAATCTGATCGTCATTTTCTGACTCTTCTATCTGATTCGAGTTATTTTTCACCAAGTTTTCGTTGTGAAGTTTGTCACTGACAATTTTTGCCCTTTTTGTGAATGAAACCTGAGAGTATAATTGTTTTAGTTGTTGAATAACAAACTTGTCAGGTGTATATGGACCACACTTCCGTTTCTGAACAAAATAATGTCAATAATTAATAAACTCAGGGATAACATATATATTTAGAAAAATGCTTACTGGTAAGGAGTAGGAGGAAACTTTATAACTGTTGCTTCTTTGGCTTGTAAGGAGTAGGAGGAAACTTCATAACTGTTGCTTCTTTGGCTTGTAACTCGCATTAATAGACTACGACGCTGATCTTCTGTAATATATTTATTCCAGTCATTTATGAAACCGTCATTCTATATCAAACAAATATATTATGTTAATATCATAAAAAAAGATTAAAGTGTATGCGTTTTCACTCTCACCTTCCATTTTTTCTGAATTTCTTTAAGTATATCTAACCTCTCTTTACAACACCTTTTGATTTCATTAAAATCGTTGAGAGGGCTAAATGATATGCATCGTAAGCATCGCGTTTTATCTTGCGATTCAGATGTCGGTAAAATTCAAGTGGTGCTAGGTTAGCTGAGATTAATCTTTTTCGGACATCTCGCAATGAAAGGATAAAGAACATATTTAGCAAGCGTTTTGTTATGAGTTGAGTACACTATAAGTTATATTCTGAGGAAGGTCGATGCGACCCGAAAGTCTTACGTAATGGGTTATGGTAGTAACAATTGACTAGACTACCATTGCGCTTAACCGAACCCTTACAAAATTGTGCGACCCGAAAGTCTTACGCGATGAGTTATGGTAGTAACTTTGACTAGACTGCCATCGCGCTTAACAGTTTGCAAGCTCAGAAAGGTGAAATCGAAATACTTGTAAAACCAACTTACATTTGGAAGGTCTTTTAGAATAGCGTCAAATTATTTTCTGTTTACCATTTTTATTTATAGGAAATGCAGACCTGTTTTTATTTTTGATTATCCAATAATTTTTCCAACCAATGGAGTCGATTCTCATAAGTAAATCACTCATTGGAAAATAATAACTTATTGATATACAGTATATTTTAATTCATATTATTTTGTAATAAACTACATGTAAAGTCTGGTCAGTAAAATTATTCGTGGAGTACAGACAAAGAGGGAGAAATAATCCGTGATCCTAGGCCCTTCATATTGTAAAGTAATGACTATTTCTTTCCTGCTAAATTATTTTTACTATCTATCCAAGAGCCTATTTTTTTTAATGTTTCACCTCTTAAATAACTAGTAAAATTTTATAAAATTTATATAAATAATTCTTTAATTAATAATTTATTTATTTTTTAATCAATTAGCAAGATTTTGCTTAGTATATACACTTTATTTAATTCATGTATATATTTCTTGTATTACAGAAATTATTATTTATAAACTATTTATTCTATATAATGCTAAACTATATCAATTTTTTATCTTTATATTAGCTTATTGCATTGATCTAATTTTAAAAGTATTGAATTAAAAATTAATATAACAAGATACAAACTATTTAAATATTGTTTTAATTTTATTTTAAAGTTATATATATTTTTAATAAATAGAATATTATAAAAAACTTATTAAATCTATATTACTATCTTTTTCAAAAGCTAATTAAACAATTAAAATACTTATATTAACTTATTGTATATAAATTATTTTAGTTATTAAAACTTATTGCAGTTGCTTAATCAAAACAAACAATCAATAAATAATTTAAAGCAAATCTTTATAATAACTTATAGAAAGAGACATCAAATATCATAAGAAATAATTATCAAATTAACTTGTTTGAAACTGAGTATTTTCGATACTTTTTTGCAACTTTCAGCAATCATTATAATACTAATCAAATAATTATTATACTATAATATCTTTTTTAATTAGATTATAATCTCAATATCTATTGAATTAATATATGAATCATTTTTTATTAAAAAAAGTACTTAATAAATTATAATAATAAATATAATTTTTAATTTAGTTTATCTGTTTTTATTTAAAATTGAGCCAATATTTTATAATCTAAACTTGAAAGCATTTAATCAATAATTTATATTTTAATAATAATAACAAATAGTACAAAATTTTTTTAAAATATATATAATTTATAAAAATTTATTAATTTTTTTTAAATATACAATTAAATTGAAATTATTTATTTATTAAATTATAAAGAACTATTATAAAAATAAACCTATGGGTCTATAGCTCAGTAGTAAAGCTTTATAAATCATCAAGTGAAGATCTAAGGTTCAAACCTATCTAATTATAAAAAATTTATCACATTTCCTTTCTAATTAGGTTGTATGAAGGTGTGACTTCTAGCCTTTTCTATAGTTTTGAGGCTGCAATAGATCATAAAAAAAAAAAGGATTATATAAAAAAAACTTTTAATCTAATTTTGATTAAGCATTATAATTTGTTATATAATATAAAACATCATTATATTTGGATATACAAACTAAGTTATATTCTATTTTAATCAATCTTGATCATTATTTTTTTCACTTATTAATTATCTAAATAAGAAGTTTTAAAGTGAGCACTGAACTAATATCTTTTATATGAAAATATAATTATGATATAATAAAACAAAATATATAAAAATTGCATCCTGCTTGATATTTATACCTTTAGATTTGGTAGCTTATATCAACTGGTCTGAATCTGAATATATCTATTAGAAAATTAAGGATTAATTCATAAGTAATATCTTGTAAACCCATATTTACAGTCATGCCCCTATTGGCCATATGACACCTAGATTTGAAAATATTGTAATTAACCAATAGTTAAAATCAGAACATTCATTAAAGAATATATACTTGTATCAAAGATCCTTACTATTGCATATGTTATATAAGTAAAAAGGTGTAATATGATAGGTAACTTATACTTAGATAATTAATAGTATATACATAAGATTATAACTAAGCTCTATAGGTTAGATAGTTTAAAACTAGCAATAAAATTTCTATTCCTTATAGCATTCTAGTATCATGAGAAAATGTTATTAAGTAATGAGTTTCTGAATATCAAATAAATAAAATTGATAGGCTAATATTTAATTATAGTAATATATTATAATAAATATTTAATATAATAGATAAATGATATATTATCAATAAAATTTATATCTAATACTATTTAACTTAAAAAAAAAAAAAAAAGAACTATTACAAAAATATAAATATATACAAAATATAAATTTTTTTAATTCAGCTTATTTATTAATAGTTAAAATTTCTAAATATAATTACAAACTAATTTTTTAAATATAATAAATTATTAAATTATTATATAATACTATATAACAAATAATATTTTTTTATATTAGATATATTAATTAAATTAAAATAGTATTAAAAATTTCAATTCAATTATATAATATTTTATTATCTATTGAAATTAAATAATATTTTAATAAATTATTTAATTCAATAAATATTTTCAAAACAAAAATCAACTTCAATTTCTTAATTAAATTTTATTAATTAATATTTTTCAAGAAAAAGTTCTTATTAATTTTTTTTTTTATAATTTTTTTTTTTTTTTTTTTTTTTATACTCCAAATCAGGCTGTATGCCTACTAGTTTATTAATCCTATTTTGTCGGAAAGCT